ACAAATCTGAAAAAAAAAGAAATTCATGAAAAATTGTTTACTTTTTGCAAACTGTTTCTGATTGTTTATTTCTTCAAATTCATTTTGCCAAGTAAATCTGTGATATTTAAAAAAGTAAACTTTAATTTGTTACTGATATCTATAAATTTATTTTGTTATCATATTTTAAATGGCCAAGAATTTTCATTTTGAAATTCTGCATGTAAACATCAATTCTTGTATACATATGTGACAACATTTTTTAATAAAGGATTCCTGTGGAAGGGGGAACACACACACACACACAAAAAAAACTACAAACCAAAACAGAAGCAATTAAAAAAAAATTCAAGTTTGATTGTAGCCTATTTTTCATATACAGTACATGTTTGACCCTTTGATCTTGGACATCATGGCCCTAAAATTTAATCAATTCATTGGCTCTGCAAGATACATACATGTCTTGAGTTTGATGGTAATCCATATGTCTGTTTTAATGATAATACGTTCACAAGCTATTTTTGCATACATAATGAGCCGTGACCTTTGAACTTTTAACTCAAAACCTACTTAGTTCATTGGCTCTGCAAGATACATACATGACATAAGTTTGGCGGTAATCCATCCATTGGTTTCTGAGATAACACGATCACGAGAACGGGACGTACAAACGTATGTATGTACCAGGGGCGTAAACCCCGGGGGGGATGGGGGGGCTGCATCCCCCCCTGGCTCGAAGTAGGGGGGGATGGCCTGTACAATCATCCCCCCCTGATATTACAAAAAAAAGAGAGAAAAAAAGGAAGAAGAAGAAGAAGAAGAAGAAGAAGAAGAAAAAAATGTGATTGTTTCAATTTTAGCATAATACATGAGAAATTAGTTATTTTTTTAATGTAAGTATAACTGTATAGCCTACACGGATATAGTATGTCACCATCATTAAGAGTAGTTGCGCGACGTGCGCGAACAAGCACTTCATAAACTTTAGAATAATTTTTCGTTATTTTGCAAGGTATTATTATAGCCCAGACGTAAAGTGCGCCAGCGCGCGAGCGCTTAAAAAGTGCAATCATGTACAGTAGATGCCCGGCTCCCCCCATTTAGTATTATTTAGGGTACGCGTACGCTCGTTCCCGCCCTTTGAAAGCACCCCCTGTAATGTTATGAGCTGAAGTTATGCAGCACTCCTAATTTGAATATAACTTACACCTGTATGTGCTCATTGTTAAACAGCCATGCACATTCATTCAGAAGCAACCATGCAGAAAGCACTCTTCAATACAGTACTCTTGGCACACAGAGTGTGTGATGTATTTAATGAGTAATTAGCCATGCACACATTCAACCCTCATACACTGCCTTATGTACTGGACATGTGAGAGTGGTAAGTTGCACTTGACCACTAGCATGCACAGCATAAGCATGATGTTTTTAGTTACACCAATAAACTCCTGAACCTCAAGCAAAGATATGTGGAGCTTATTACTTTCTTGACCCAGCTACATTTAGTAAAGTACTAACCAAGAAGTCTACATAACAAACCCACTATTTTTGACACCCCCCACCCTATCTCAGGACTGCCAACATTTCTGAATCCCCCTTTCGCCGGCATTTCGCTGGCTTTTCCTACCTTGAAGACCCCCCCCCCCCAAAATCCGGATCACGTACTGCTAAATGTACAACCCCCCCCCCCATTTCAGGTGAGCTCTAGTCGATCAGGGGGGGGGGGGGGGACTGGGGGCCAATGCTTTTACTTTTCAAAATGAAATAATCCTGAATGAGCTTTCAAAGCTAGCAGGAATTTCAGGAATTTGATCCCGGGATTTGATCAATTTTTCTATGATATTCAAAATATTTTATAACCTCCTTTTTACAATTCTCAGGAGTCCAAAGAGAGAGAGAAAAAAACCCACCCCCTTTTTAAAGAAATTAAGAGTCGAGAATGGTACAACGAATAGTCTTCTTTCTCTAATGATTTAATGAAACGTAAAAGCTTCCGCGCTTCGCGCGGGAGGGGGGAGGGGGGAGGGGGGAGGGGGGAGGGAAAAACTGAATTCAGATGAGGATTAAAAGTCAAGAACGGTACAACGAATCGTCTTCTTTCTCCAATGATTTTATGAAACATAAAAGCTTCCGTGCTTCGCGCAGGAGGGGGGAAGGGAAAAACTGAATTCAGATGAGGATTAAAAGTCGAGAACGGTACAACGAATCGTCTTCTTTCCCTAATGATTTAATGAAACGTAAAAGCTTCCGCGCTTCGCGCGGGAGGGGGGGGGGACTGAATTCAGACGAGGATTAAAAGTCGAGAACGATACAACAAATCGTCTTCTTTCTCCAATGATTTTATGAAACGTAAAAGCTTCCGCGCTTCGCGCAGGAGGGGGGAAGGAAAAAACTGAATTCAGATGAGGATTAAAAGTCGAGAACGGTACAACGAATCGTCTTCTTTTCCTAATGATTTAATGAAACGTAAAAGCTTAGGCGCTTCGCGCGGGAGGGGAGGCGGGAACTGAATTCAGACGAGGATTAAGAGTCGAGAACGGAACAACGAATCGTCTTCTTTCTCTAATGATTTTATGAAACGTAAAAGCTTCCGCGCTTCGCGCAGGAGGGGGGGGGGGGAACTGAATCCAGACGAGGATTATTTTCGAGAACAGTACAACGAATCGTCTTCTTTCTCTAATATTGTTTGTTCGTTTGTGTGTGTGTGTGCGTTTGTGTGGGCTCTCGCCTCAGCATTCTTGTGGGGTTTTATGTGCGCTTCACATACCCCTTGTGAGGCATTTTTACTTTGTGGGGTATTTTTTCAGGACCCCACAGAGTTAAGTCTTTCAAATGACTGTATATTCGGTGTCCTATGCCCTGCGGGGCATTAGAAGTGGTACCCCATAAATGACTTTTTGTGAGCGTGTGCTAAAACTTGCACACTTTTTTATGGTAACATCGTAAGCACACCGCCGGGTTGTTATCGCCAGGTTGTACATACCCCACTAGTAGGGGACCACAAGGTATATCTGGAACGCACAGAAATACCCCACAATCAGGTGCCCCACAAAGGCCCTGATGTGTGAATGCGTGTGTGTGTATGTGTGTGTGTGTGCGGGTGTGTGTGTGTTTGTGTGTGCGCGATCGCGCGCGCTTGCGTAAATTAGTGTGGGCTCGTGCTAGTATGTGATGGCTATTGCCGATCATCCCCCCCACTCCTCAGTACGGATTTACGCCCCTGGTATGTACGGACGGAAGGACAGACAGACAACCCGGACAACCATAATGCCTCCGGCTACTTTGTAGCGGAGGCATAACAAAAAATTAATGTTTCATGGGAAATAAGGTGAAGATGGTACCTACTTGTGCAAATGAGATGCTATTTAAACAGCAAAGTAATTATTCAATATCTTTATCAAGCAGTAAAAAAATGTAGAAGTGGGAACATAAATTGTTGTAAATCTTATTTTATCAAATTATCTTTTAATACAGCTCTGTAATACCTTTCCAGATTTAAACTGCTCTCCCCTCCAAACTACCTCTATATATATATATATATATATATATATATATGACCATGCAATAACGTTGACCCATGACCTACAAACCAAAAGCCAGCTGAATAACTCTTTTTGGGGGCCAATCTGCATGAAGCATGCATTTAATTCTTGCTTTTTAATTTGTTAAGCTGTGTTTAATTCATTAGGCTGATGATTGCTTTCCCATTGTGATATTGCATAATAGCACCAAGTTTGAGGTTCAGAACTTGGTTAACCCTATGTAAACTGGGGGGGGGGGGGTCAATTTGACCCCCCCCCCTGTAGAAATTTCGTGACTACTCCAAAACCGCGGCAGATATAAAATTTTCCTTTCATGACTTTTTACTTTCGAGTCTTACGCATCTTTTAAAACAATTTTTTCGAAAATCGGACCTACGGTTACAAGGTCACGTGACCTTTTGTCTTTGCATGTCAGCCCGAAAATCGCTCATTTTCGAGATTTGTGTACAAAACATATGTAAAAGTCATTTCTCCTAAAAATAGATAAAACATTGGTTATTCAGTCTTGTTTAAAGTTTAGATGTTTGTTCTGGGGTCAAAATAGTTGAATTGTAGTTATAAATGAAATAAAACAACAAAAACAATAAAATACATAAGTTAAAAAAACAATGAAATACATAAGAAATTATAAAAACAAGAGATAACATAAGGAATAACCTGGCTCTTCCAATTTTTTGTGTTGTATTATTATTCCAAATGGTCTAATAAATATATGTAGTGAAAAAGAATACTTAAATATGAATAATCTATGATTTATGGGCAGAAATGTGAATTGTATGACCTTATTTGCATAAATTACCATAAATATGCAAATGAGTGAAATTTGAAATTACCATATTATTCTATACACTTCACTTGACATGCATGCAAATTTTCGCGGCGATCGGCGGTGAAACGGCCGAGATCTTAGGGAAAGGGGGGGGGGGTCAACTTGAGCCCCCCCCCCCCCAGTAAAAACCTGGTCTGAAATAGCCCAGTTAAAATAGGATTAAGATATCATGTTGGTTATTGGTTGGTTTTACCTGGCTGCCTGGAAAGCCTCACCCACACCAAACTATAGTTCTCACTACGTTTGCAAAATTGCAAAACACAAAACCTGATCCCCAAAAATTGAAAAACAGATTTGTGGTCGGGTTAGAATTGGCATTGTTTTGGCCTCTAATACAATTAATCCTAGTGGCCCATCTCGTCTACAGGCCTACCTGTCCACATTCGGTTCATATCAAGTTCAGATTGGGTAAATTTGCCATTCCAAGCACTCAAGCCCGTCCCTAGTCAGTTTAAATCCATTCTTTATCTACCTCGTCATAAATTGAGACCTATGTGACCTTTGATTTCTCACCAACATATCCCTAAATGTAATGAATTTTCTTTCTGTAGTAGGACTTGAACTGAGCATATAGTTCGTACTAACATTTATTGAACTATCACGTAAACGAGAATGAGGGACAGACAACCTAAACACATGATACATACCTTCCTGAAGAGCCATGATTGGAACTGCTCCCTTTGCAAGTGCACTGCTGCATAACTAGGCATGACAAAAATGTGGTCATCAGACCGTTTGTTGTTCTCTCGGGCTAAGATACGCATTCAAGATCTGCAAATGTATAGAAATAAATTAATTAAGAATAAAAATCAAGATACACCTAGATTCTTTGTATGAAATATATTATTATAAATACGAATGGAGAAATACATCAGTCCATGCACATAATTGTTACGATGTAAACAAAAAATCAATTGAGAGGATGTGTTTTGTGTAACAGAGTTTTATGAATTTTTTTGTGGACCTTATACAGTTCTTTTTTAGGTTCCTTTTCAAAAATTCAATTAGGTTTCTAGCCTACAAGCAATTGAAGACAATTCAACAATTTGTGTCAATGTACAATGGTATTGAATCAGTCAAAGATGAGCTAGTGCAATTTAGGAGATCTTGAACTATATACCATCGAGGTCACTTTTTGTCTGACGTGGAGGTACCACAGCTTAATAGAGCCCCCCCCTTTTGTATTGCAGTTATCTAATTTAGTTCATGGGAGATTTGATTCACAATCAAACTTCAAATCAAAGACAGATAACATTTAAAGTATTGATTTCGGTCATATTTTTTTAATGCGTTAATTCCACCTATCACAAAGTTTTAAACATTTTTGATATTTTGATATTAAAAAGCATAAGCAAAATCAAAGAAAAAAATTATTAAAAATAAAAAAATTAATTAAATAAATCATTTGTTATTCTTTTGTGGAATTTATGGTGAAACGCATTCCAAGTAATCACTACATTGGGAAAGTTGCAGTTGTATGGGATTTTGCGTGTATTACTTTCAGGAAAATTTTAGTGCTAACCCAAAATTAAAATCACATGTCAAAAATTACATAAAATTTACAAGTTTATCTTAATGTTCGCTATCTACATTTACGGAAGGTCATATCTATTATTTACTCTTTCATGTGACTATATTTCAAGACACCTGACAAAACACCGTGATTTATGGATTTGTTCAAATTTCGAAAAGCGATTTATCTAAAAAAGACAAGCACTATACTGCACCCATGCATGAGTGATTAAAATCAATTTGAATTGAGGGAACCAAAAAGTCATTTGGCAGACGGTAGCTAAATTTCAAAGAGAAAATCACATTTCTGGAAAGTTTTGTTTCTTCCCTTTAATCACGAAAATAAGCATGGAATAACAAAGTTCTGTTCGTTTAAAGTAATGCTTGCATTTCCATAATTTCATTAAACAAATTTGTTTTCACTGGCTGCCTGCCGCAGCAACAAGCAGAATTGACCAAAGACTTAACTCCGCTTCGTTGACAATGCTTTTTGGTTCCCTCTCTTCAAATTGATTTTATCACTCATGCGTGAAATATGCATCACATGAGTTGCATGAAATGAAAGAGGATGATCTAAGCTTTACAAATATGTGTCATTTATTAATTATAATTGTGATTAAGTTATGATGAAAGATATATAATTCTCGGGTTCGTTTTTCTAGGACTCACTGTATATATATGTATATGTATATACTTATGCATGTATTCATCATACATGTATGTCATAATTTATGTACTCATGATATGCTTGTTTTATAATAAATTAAAGTAATTAATCACCCTGTCATTGATCCAATTTGGGCTCCTTAGAGTCTGAAAGTCTGATACTTCCAGAGTCTCTCCACAAACACTGTATCGACCATCCTTGCCAGTAGAAGGGAGTGGCTGTCTTCTCACCCAGGCTAGTTCTTCAGAGGCCACACATGAATCTGCAATACAATTTTGTTTAAAGTTTGATGACGTGCATAATGATATCATAAAGATTAACAGCTCTGTTGAAAGGCCAAACATAAAATACAGGTATTGCTGGACTAATTTAGATTTGCAATACCATTCATGCACTGAGCATATAAACCATCTTTCATGACCATATTTGAAATCACTCTATACTTTACTTCCTATTTTAGCTACCTTATAATTATTAAGCTTTATAATTATAGAAATAACAACTCATTGTAATCACATTTAGTTTAGTAAAATAATTAAATTCACTTCTGTGCTATAAAAAGCAAGAAACAATACATATCTGTATTCTGTATCTTGACACATGTATGAATGTATGATGATGCCATATGTTTTCTAATTTTGTATCAATGTGGGTTTTTTGGTAATAAGCTTGTACGTACATGTAACTGTTATACAGGGCTGCCTGAAAAAATGATGTTATAACTTCTTAAGGGGTATAACGCTGTAACAACAAAAAATAAATAAATCAAAGCTAAGTGGCCGAGGAAGAAGTAATGGAGATTGCAGATTTAATCCATAAATTATATCACAGAATGATTTTATTGGGCCGCCTTGAACACACCCTTGCAAGGTGGATATGTGCACTATACAAATATCCAATATCATTATTTTTTTTAATTATGTTTCCATAGTCATATAAGCTGGAAGTGGGGGGGGGGGGAGGGCTATGATAATGCCATCAAAAGCTATTTTTGCATTTAGAATAAGCCCCATGACCTCATGGCCCCAAAATCTAATCAGCTAATTGGCTCTAAAGGATAGTTATACATGACCCAAGTTTGGTTGGAATCCATCGGTTCTTAAAGGTCCCCTCTAACCCAACTAACTTAGCCTTTCAAAACATGAGTACAGCTCTACTTATTAATATTCCAGCCTAAATTTTTGTAGAAAATCTCTATATTGACCAAAAAATGATAATAACCATCCAATTTTCACAGATTTCAAGCTTCCTAGGCTACAACCCTCGAAAAAGGTAATTATGGTCACGTGGCTTGATGACGCATTTTACGTCATTGCGGGAATGTCCTTGTATTTGTCTTTCAACTAAGGATCTTACAATCTTATTGTATTTCATAATTAGGAAATGGCCAGAAACGTTCTTGGATTATCAAGTGCATATTATTTTTCGGATAAATGTCCCTTTTTTTTCAATATCATACTTTGCCTTTTAAAAGATATTTTAATGCCTAAATAACCATCCTTTTCACCAGGAAGTCGCAAGCAGACGCTTTTTGCTTAAACCCCGTCTTAACCCAAAAATATAGTTGCGGTGTCATCCGGACATGGTCCAGATGACATTCTACCCTGTTCCAGTTACGACGCGTCAATCGTTGTACCGTTCGGTCAATATCGAGGTGACATCAAGACGAGTTTCACCTTAGTCGGGCCAGGGTGAGATTGCGGTAACGTCCAGACATTGTCCGGAAGACATCCTGATAAACGGCCTTAAGGCGCAAGCGGAACTCTACCCGGGTAGAATGACGTCAGGGCCGTGAAAAAATGTATACATGTACACAGCGCGCCACAGCTGATTGCGATGGGAGGTGAGGTTGTTATGGTAACCTACCTGAGTGAGGTTTTTGGCAGGTGGCTGGTTAAGACGGTGTCCATGAGCCTGGCAAATGCTCACCCCATGTTTTACGATCAGACCCCCAACGGTTTCTTATCCACATATCGCTCGGGTGAGATCGAAAATAGTTCTATTAAGACGGGGCTTTAGACTCATACCATACTCATTTCATTATTTTGCATGCACGTTCTTGTCAGCCTGGCGTCAGTTTGCTTTAGAACACAAGCTATCAAACGAGTGGGCAAAGAGCCTATGGTGTTTAATTTTATCATTATTTGTTGGCGTTCTTGCTTTTACGCTTGCGGCTTAGTTTTGTTTTTTCAACTCTACGGCTGGAATCTACTGATACTATCAAGCCACCAAGAAAGGATTGGGGTGCAGAAAGGAGAAGGGTAATTTTCCACTTAGAATAAAACTGTTAAGCCTAGAGTATTTCAGTTTAGACCGCTCAATCCGATATATGCACTTTCAATTACGTACGCCTGAACTGGAGTATGAGTGGTCTAGTCTAGACTAATATTTTATCAGTCTCAGTCAGTCAACAATTTAGATTACGTCTAGAGCTACCGGTCTGCTTCTGCCTCAGCCTCAGGCGTCTCGTCGAGCTCGGGCTTGAACTGATATAGGGTTTGATGTTACTGTGGTAAATTTCAGCGCCTGTTCAGAACTGTGAGTGTGAGGGTGTCCACCCGTGACTCCGGCGTGGAGATACCCTACTATAACATATCAAAAATCAACTGAATCCCCAGTAATTGTTCAACAAATGGTTATGATTTAAAAGTCATTATCTTTCTTACCTGTTTTGAGTCAATTATCTTTTCTGTTTTGGAGTATTTTTCCTAAAAACGAAGACATTAGTATACATGCACTTTCTCACAGGTTTCACGGCACACCTCTGCACAATACAAGTGCATACACTGTACCGTACTGACGATGGAGTGCGGGTGCACGCGCGTGCGTGACGTTAACGACCGTAATGATCATCATCCATTCATAATGTGAATTACTTGCATGAATTTAATGAGGAACTGAAATTACATTCCTTTACTTCATGCACACCTGTGCGCCCGCACCCTGTGGTCGTTATGCACTTGTATTGTGCAGCGGTTTGCCGTGAACCTGTGAGAAAGTGCATGCATAATAATGTCTTCATTTTTAGGAAGAATACTCCAAATTGACACAAAGCAAGTAAGAAAGATAACGACTTTTAAATCATGACCATTATTTTAACAACTGTGGAAGATTTGGTTGATTTTTGGTATGTTGTAGAACATATAGTAGGGTATCTCCATTAAAGTGTTATGTTATGTTGTGTATAATGCCAATGTTGTCTCCTACAGTGACGTCATATGCTATTGCGCAATACAGCTCTGAAACAGGGCTTTTTTCTGAGCGTTCTGAGTCGTCATTTTTAAAGCTAGATTCAAGAGTTATTGATGATTTCTAAGAAAAATCATTGTCATATTCGGAATCTCCATTAATTTTTTCTTCTTCATGTCTCTTTGTCAATTTTAAGCCCGTTTTGGTTAGAGGGGACCTTTAAGATAACGCGATCACGAGAAAAAAACGTATGTACGGACGGACAACCCGAATACATAATGCCTCCGGCCACTTCGTTGCAGAGACATAACAAACTGTAACCTGTATCTAAATGAAAAATTATTCTTCTTCATCCATTTAATTACATTCCACCTACTTTCAACACAGATTGTGATGTGCCATAATCCTTTTCTTTGCATGATAGTTACATGTGCATGTACCTTTATTGATACTTGATAATAATCCTATATCCTACCTCATGGATGTTTGACACTGAGAGACCTGCCAAGGCCTCGTTTCTTCTCCTTAACCCTGCTGTCCCCTTCCCTGCCCGCTACCATCTGCTGGGGTGGATGGGGTGTTGATTGTCTGAGATGCTGCTGCTGGGGTTGTGACTGGGGTTGTGACTGGGGGTGTGGCTGGGGGTGTGCCTGGGGGTGTGGCTGGGGGTATGGCTGTGTCCTCTGGGTAGATTGCTGAGATTGGGCAGAGGGAGGGCGGCTGGGGAGATGGTCCTTGATTGTGGTGTTACTGAGATGAGGACCTCCCTGTATGGAAGTAAACAGTACAAGAGATATAATACTATTCACAATTACTCTATATTTACTTTATGATGAGATAATGTAGTTGATGCCTATATCAAGGTATAGAAAAGAATAATATCGCACATCTAGCTTTGAAACATCAGCAAATTATTCTTGACGTCATAGGGTACAATAAAATCTACTTCATGATAAACATGAACATTTATCACAATTCTTAAAGAGGGAGAGAAAATTAAAAAGGTACATTGGGAAAGACAGAAAAGATGAAAAATCTAGCTTATAAACAGCAAAAGTTTGTATAGAACTAACAAAGAACGGGATATAATTGGAACCTATCTCATGATACATAGGAAAATATATTGAAATTTAAAAAGGGAAAGGATATAAAAGCAATGGATGGCAAATGTATAAATGTCCTGTAAAACAGTCAGGATAAAATGCAAGCAAAATACTAAAAGATTGATCAAACAATGATGCTCAGAACTTAAATATTCTCTGAACTGTACTCCAGTTATAATCAAGTACTCATTTGATAAAATAAGAACAAATCTGCCAAATGTGTAAGAACTCCTGGAAAATGAAGGTATATTTGATAAGTCAACAAACCTGGTTATTCTGCCTTGCTGACATTATAACTGGAACATTCTCTCCAAGAGATTGCTTGGTTTTCATGTCCTTCACATCAAGACGTTGCACACCCCCGAGAGGCTGTGCTCTGGTTAGCGAGTCCTTGTTTTTCTTTAGGATGGGAGGGACTGATCCATTGGGAAATAGGGGTGATTTCTGTTGTTGCTGATTGGAAACACCAGCAATCATGGAGGGAGTGGTGCTTTGTGGCCTGTATGATTCTGTTTCAATTAGAAAGGACAAACATATTAAATTTATGTACCGGTAGTTCCAAATAAAAGAAGTTTTCGTTCAATTTGAAATATCAGTCTATATGTGTTGTGTTATATATCCAAGTCTTGGTTTCAAGAATGTTTCATTTTAACAATAACATAAACAACCCCTAAAAGTAATACAACACAGTACAGGGCTACATCAGGTTGTCCCACATTTCATGACTTCATGACTTTTTCCCTCAAGTCTTACGCACATTTCGATACCATTTTTGTCGAAATCGGATATACCTGTAAGGTGTTACATAACAATTAGTATGCGCATGTCATCAAAAAAACTGCTATAATATATTCATGTACAAGCAGAAATGTGAATACAGGTTCAGATGTATTTCTTCCAAAGTGGGAGATATGAAATGATATCAAATTTCTTTTATATGTTACTCAAAGTAACTTGATGTATTCCAGAACAAAAGAATACATTAGAACTAAAACAATAGATATAATAAGAAATATAAAACAATAAAATACATAAGAAAATAAAATGATGAATTTTGAATGCATATTCATGATTTATGCAAATTAACCTATGCATTTTCAAATATCATAAAAATATTGAAACCTCATGAATTTGAGATGAAGGAAACATTTATTCAACACATTTTCAAGATTCTTCACAAGTCTACAGACAAATATGTAGAGTTTTCTGTAAAATGCATAAAATTTTCATTTTGCATAATTAATTAGGCTATAACGACAAAGATTTACATATTAGGTGAAAAACTAATTATACCATCTTGTTCCTTACGTAAATATCTACAAACATACACATTTTCGTGTTCATCTGACATTCGACGGCCGAGATCATAGAGGGGGACCTCCCAGGCCCCCAACCCCCCCCCCCCTTAGTCAGTGAGGTGCTCAAAATAGCCCAGTACAGTAAGGGTTAAAGGGAAGAAGAATACAATTAAAATGCTGATAATTAACATCTTCTTGGATAACCTCTGTGATTAACTGAGATGAATACTTCTAACTTCTTGCAAAAACTAAGTTCGACAGCACAATTTGTTATCATCGATATTGAAAACGTCCATCAATTTGGACCTACATTTGACAATTTGAATATCACCAAAAGCAATGGCGATAGTAATTTGCATTGGACATGACTCTTCCTCTTTGACCGTGCTCCTTAAAATAACAAAAATACATGGATCGCTGTTTTGCATCGATCCTTCATGATGAACTTTGTGATTTACAGAACAGGAAGCACAAATGACCAAAGTGTGATTTCAAATGCAAGGTAAGTTTTAGACTTTCAGAAAAGGTGAGCCCCCTGGAATGTTTGCCCCCTCCCCCCCCCCCCCCCCCCCCAATCTCAAACATCTTCTGGCGCATTGACTTGGATTAAGCTGTACACTATTCAAAGGAATTATGATTTACTGCACAGCAATGATGAACTGTGATAGTCACAGTTCATCATTACTGTGCTGTGCAGTAAATCATATAAATCATATAGTCACTATATATATAAATGAAAGAATGACATAATTTCAGTTGTTATAACCATAACAGAACCTTCTACATTGCAAAAATGTTAATGCTGTAGGAAAATGTACCTGCAGCTGCTTTCTTGGTGCATTCATCAGCAAATCTAACCCGTTTAGTCTTACACTCCTTCAGGGTTGCTTGTCGCAGTCTCTGTTTGACTGTATAATAAACAATAAACATAACAAAGGACAATATAAAAAATGACAGTGTAGTAGGTATTAAAGTAGTGTTTCATTGTAACATAGATAAATTTAGACAACCTTTAGCTTAACCCTATGTTAACTGGGGGGGGGGGGGGGTCAATTTGACCCCCCCCCCCCCCGTAATAATTTTGCGACTACTCCGAAACCGCGGCAGATATAAAATTTTCCTTTCATGACTTCTTTCTTTCGGGTCTTACGCATCTTTTAAAACAATTTCTTAGAAAATCGGACGTATAGTTACAAAGTCACGTGACCTTTTGTCTTTGCATGTCAGCCCGAAAATATATATTATCTTACCTTATTTTATCTTACATTATTTTTTGATCTTGCTCCAATTTCTTTCGAGAGAAGTCCCTGCATCATATAAGATTTTGCGGAGGTGTGAATAACGAGGAGAAAATCTCAACTTACCTTGTGAGGATTTGTTTTCTACAGCCTTGGTTATGAGCTCCTTATTTGTTTGGAGTCTCTCTGCAGCAGCTCCTACTCTGGCTATCTTCTTTTTCTTCCTCAGTGGAAGATTCGAGGGTGATGGCTGGCTCCTTTTCTTTGATGCTGTGTTCTTAGGTCGGTCCTCAACTAAGCCACTTTCATTCCGGAGCTTCATTTGCACGATTATTAGGAGCAGGCCCAACTTGTCGTCCATCATGTTTAGTACATCATCTGAACTCAAGTAAGTTAAGGGCCAATTGCTTTTTCGCAGAGGGCAAATGGCCTCGTTTTGGAAGTTCCTCCAACATAGTGTCATCAGCTGGCTGGTCTAATTGATCGGGCTGATGGTCTCCCAAGTCTATACCTTAGTCGGCAGGCACCTCAAGAAAACCGCAAACTTCTGTGTCCAAGGTGTAGAGTGGAGAGTTGCGAAACTTCTCGGGTAGAGCAGACCAAGTTGTCCCTGGAAGTAGCTCCAACACGGCAAACATGTGTTTGCAAGGGAGATGAGTCCAACGCCAGTCCCAGCATTCACACTTGGGAATGCCATTCTCAGTCTGAAGATGAACATTGTATGAAGTTCTTGGCCATGTCGTCTCACTTTTCACCTGTATAAGATATTTTGTTGGTAAAATGTGAATACTATAAGGTACTTGATCTAGATATTCCTCTGTCTGTACCAGTTCCTCTAAATACCTATCAAAATTGATGCATATCTAATTGAATAGACAACTTATGGTCCAAATTTACAAAGACGGTTTATATTAACATAGGGTAGTGAAGTCCTTCATGGTTTGTTTTAAGCGTATATGTGCAGCGTATATATTTTATTTAAGCGTATGCATCAGTCATATGTGCTTATCGACCCAAACCACGTATACACATAGAAAATATAAATATTTGTAATTTCACATAATAAAATACAAAAGAAAAGGTGGGTTTATGACATTACCTGCCCACTCATTTGGACACAGCTTCGTTTCGCAGTTTTATGAAACAATGCAAACTTCAAAATGCTGTAAATTTCTATAATTCATCCAAATTTGATAACATTATCAATATTTTGATTGTTTAATTTTACTCTATTTATTAATTCAAATCAATTTGATCTCAGGGTGGACAATCCCTTTAAGTGGTCAACTGATTAGAATTAAAATGAGAAGTAATATGCTACCTGGAAGCAGTGCTCTGATTTTCTTATGACATCATCCTTTGTTAGCGTCCCTGCCATCTCAATTTTCCTCATGCAATGACGGATGAAATAGGATGGACGATTCTGCAGATAGGGTGGGATGGCATCATCATATGTCCTTCCCAGTGAGTCGATTGCTGTCAGATCTTCTCTGATATATCTGGGGAAGCAAACATATCGGATTTGAATTAATCATATTTCTACATAGGTTGGCAATTTACGATCGTTTTATAAATTAAGTATCTAAGATTCCTACCCGGTTTAGAGGAAATACTAGTAAATACTGGAAAATATCTAGTCTTCCAAATTACTGATGAAATTGCTTATTTTGGGAGTATTTTCTAGCCACCGGTATCTCTTTGATTGCATATACATGTACCTTTTCAAAGCACTTATAGTATCCCATAACATGAAAGAGATATTATTGCTCTAGGTGATTAATTGTTTTTTCCTCCATAGTATGGATGTTTGGCTCAACTTTGCTTGCAAGAAATATTCTTAGCAAGGTCAATATCTACTGAACATTACTTTATTTTAACACAGCCCTAAACCCACATCATATCCATGACCCCATCTTATAAAGAGTTACGATTGGTCCAAATCAATCGCAAGTCCTCCAACCAATCGCAAGTTTGCAGTCTTCTATCTCTTATTTACATAGTTGCTATTGAAATCAATTGCAAATGTCCTATGTGAGTTAACTCCTGCTATTAACCATAACAAGTTGGAAAATACAGCAAAGAGGTTATCAATATTTTGCTTTGACATGGAAGTGTGAAAATATAATTCATTAATAACAATTAATGCTATATTACAACTACAGCTTATTATAATAATAATAATAGTGAACATTTATAATGCGCCATGTCTGTCAAAAATGACACTCCTGGCGCAGTTTTGTGGAAGTTGTATAATTGTGGGCAAGAATTCAAGAAAGAAAGTAAAATACACATAAGTTACAGTTTAACATACTTCAGGACATAATTTGCAATAATACAATAATACAATACAAAGCATATTACAGTAAATCAAGTTATATAAGGGTAGTACAATGTAAGACATTATACAGGCCTTATATTTCAATATTTTTAGGGCAAGGCCACTTTTCTGTAGGGCACATTCCTATATTGCAGAACAAATAGGAAGAATTGGAAAGGGCACAAAAAATCTCCAAGGCCAATGAGAGGGGCATTGAGGCCAATCAAAGGGGCATTCACGGCCATGGCCTTGGTGGCCTTGGATTAATTCAAGCCCTGGACATAATTAAACAAACTAATATGTTGAGAACAGAAACGTTTTTAACAAAGACTTGAACTGTGAGTAGGAGTTCTCATTACGGAGGTGAGGAGGGAGTGAGTTCCACAGTTCAGGGCCAGAACTTGAAAATGAACGCCTTCCCCAGGAGTGCCGTGAACGTGGGATGCAAAGAAGTTGGGTGTGAGCAGAGCGGAGTCGTCGTGGTGGTTCGTAGAGGTGAACTAGGTCTTGTATGTATGAGGGTGCAGTGCAGTGAAGTGCTTGACGAGAAGAATGACTTTGAAGATGATGCGTTGGCGGACAGGAAGCCAGTGCAGTGCCTGAATGATGGGTGAGATGTGAGTGGTGCCTTTAGTGAGCGTTACAAGTCTGGCCGCGGAGTTCTGGAGTTGTTGGAGGCATTGCAGCTGGTAGTCAGGAAGATGTATCAGAAGAGAATTGCAAAAGTCTGAGCGAGAAGAGATGAGGGAATAAACCATGGTTTCAGAAGCCTAAGTGTCAGGAATCTTCGGATGTGCGAAAGATTGCGGAGTTGGAATCTAATGGCTTTGCATGTGTGAGATACATGATGATTTAGAGTCAAGTTCGAGTCGATGACAACACCAAGGTTCCGGCATTTAGTTGTGGGGCTGATCTGGTCATCACAAACTGTAACAAAACTTTCCGGGATCTTGTTCAGCATGACCTTTGAGCCTAAAATCATAAACTATTAGCTTAATATGTAATACTATACCCAAGATCACTCAGACTGGATATCTGGAAAATGTGTGTTACCCCAAAATCCGATTGCAGTTGACATATTAAAATATTAAAACGTCTTTTTCATTAATTTGTACAAGTCATTCTGAATTCTAGTTTCAGTTAATTATTTACATCAATAAGTTTCACATTTTGTATTTATGTTGTAGGACCCAGCGAGTGTTCATCAGTAACCAGTGATCATGGAGTCACCCTATATACTAAAACAAGACTAATATCAGTAAATTAATAAATAAACAGTAATAAATGTTAACTACCTGTCTATAAAGACATTGAGACCACTAAATGTGGCCACTGTATAAAGACGGGTTAAATACCACACATTTCTTGGGAGACAAAATGCATGGCCACTATAGACATGTGGCATTTATAGAAAGGTGGCCACTAAGACAGGTTTTACTGTATTTAGACATATTGATCCATATTCTGAACTCCAGTTTAATGTAAACTGTGGTCTAAATCCGTGGTTTAACAATGGGTAGCCAAAAGTGATACAAAACTGTAACAGTACGTAGATGTTCAAATTTTCAGCACATTTGGCACTCAAACTATTAAAAACTGTATTGGAATGATAACTACAATAGTTTTATTCATCATTAAAGCATGAGAAAAGAGCCCAGCAAATGTAAGAAACATACATTTTTGACATTTTTGGCTTCCCATAATCTTAGTACATACTTAACTAATTAATTAAGTTAAACCAGAGTTCAGAATACGGGCCAATAAGATCGTACTTTCGAGAGTTTAACCCATTCACAATAGGGAGGGCAAAAGATTTACAATGTAGTTGTTTTGAAGCCAATTAGATCTTTAGCATGATTTCCACTGCTCCATATGCTCTGCTCCCCTCCAGCTTCATTTCCTTATCAACACCCCTAAAAAGTAGCAGTCACTTTAGGTCTAAGATTTTCAAATTTATTTTATATTCTCTCTTAGTTTTTTTCTGTTTGTATACCTTACCTGCACATGCTGTTAGGCAGGTATTCCAAAATGAGAATAGAAATCATTCCAGAAATACTGGTGTAGTTCTTCTTTTCCAAGAAGGAATATTTGAATATCCCATTCTGCCTCTCCAGTCCGTTGTTGGTGTTGACCTGAACTCCTTTGTTGCAACGGTTGCCCCATACCCAGCGCTGAAATATAAAACGGATGTATAATCAATTTGTTGTCTTTGTTCAAGAAATAAATATATTATTGATGATTTTACTTTCATGTATCCAATGGGACAAAATAATTTCATGCATTCTTTACAACCCACTGTGATTTTAGGCCTGTGAACTACTTGTGAAATTACAGTAAGATCGTCTTCCTATATATATGATGATACATACTAGCACCGATTTGCAGTTTTTACCTCAGACATGGTTCTCAATATATCTTGTGAACAAAAAGAATGATGGACGGACAAGCTCAAAACATTATTTCTTCAGTACAATCTTAAGTTGGTGGAGGCATTAAAATAGATATTACATGTATTGGTTTGAGTAATGTGATTAAAAACGTAATACTTAAGTAATATTGACTGCCTTCTGGGCAATACGACATATATCGCTCGAACCGAAGGTGAGGGTGATGTATGACAAGTCGTATTGCCCTGAATTAGGCAGTCAATATTACTATTATTAACCACATCAGACATCTAGAGCAAACAAGAAACTCTTACTATCTTATACTCTTAAATTATGTAGGCTACACAGGGTTTCCTAGCATTAGAAGTTGCAAAAACATTGTCAAACCAGCATTGTTCATTCAGTGTTTGACAGATTTTCGATACACTGCAAACAGTTTGCCTAGGGTGTGATTGTTACGTCACAATAGAGTTTGCGCAAAGTGGTCATTTTCTTATACACGATGCGCGATGTAAATTACAGTAGCTGATGCGCGATGTAAATTACAACTGGCTCTATAATATTGCTCATTAGTTTAACACGCATTTTGCCATTGACTTTTCAGAGCGGGCTAAAATATTTTTTCATTGGTTTACTGTATAATCATATTGACCGGCAAATTACACACAAATCCCATTGACTTTTCTGAGCGGGCTAAAATATTTGTTCATTGGTTTACTGTATAACCATATTGACCGGCAAATTACACACAAAATCCCATTGACTTTTCTGAGCGGGCTAAAATATTGTAATTTTGTTGGCTTATCCATCAAACCTTGAGGGCAATAACATTCAAAAATTGCCCTGCTCAGATGTCTGATACAGTTAATAATGGAACATATCACATTCCACAATATTCCAGTTTGAAACTGGGCACCACCAGTTTTTAAAAGATAGAATGAAACTGTGTGGCAAAAGTCTCATAGAAGGACAGACACTGCTTCTTTCTTAAGCTACAGTCCCATATACGTCCTGGACCGTCCCAGACCATCCCGGACCCCATCCGGGGTGATCCGGGATTCGGTCCGTGTTGACAACGTGTTGGCACCGGGGTGGTCCTGGATGGTCCTGGATGGTCCTGGATGGTCCTGGGCGGTCCAGGAGTCGACCCCGGATGTTTTTGACGGTCAAAAACTGCCGGGGTGGTCCGGGACGGTCCGGGACAATAGTTTGATCCGGGGTGATCCGTGTAGCCACCGTGCAGGGTCCGGGGTCATCCGTAGTGGGGCCGGGGCGGTCCGTGTTGATCCGTGGCAGTCCGGGAGTGAGTTATTGACCCCGGATCACCCCGGCGCCCCTACGGATGATCCCGGACCCAGCACAGTGGCGACACGGATCACCCTGGATGATCCGGGGCTCTGCCGGGGCGATCCGTGTTGGCACCGGGGCGTTCCGGGATGATTTGTGTTGGCACCGGGATGGTCCGGTGTCATCCGTGTTGGCACCGTGTTGGCACCGGGGTGGTCCGGGACGGTCCGTGGCGGCTCCGTGCTGGGTCTGGAATGATCTGTACTGCTGCCGGGGCTATGCCCGGACGGTCCGGGGCGGTCCGTAGTGGTACTGTGTTGGGTCCGGGGAGAGGGTCGGCGGTTGCGATTTTTTGAACAAAACATCCCGGACCATCCCGGATCACCCCAGACCATGGTCCAGGATTGGTCCGGAGTGGTCCGTGCTCGTCCGTGCTGGTCCGGCTTTATATGGGACTGGGGCTTTACCTTAGAATGTGGAATCCACTGTTTGGTGAACCACTTCTGTAGTTTTGGGTTTTCCTGCCATTCTTTAGAAGCCTTGAGGTATTCCAATGCAGCATTGTACTCTGATGGCTCAGTGGCATGGGCACATCTTCTCAGCATGGAGAGCACTTTCTACTTGCACGAAGCAACACCATTTTCTATCTTCCGGACCCATCGTGTCCATGCTTGTTCTCTGTGAAAATCACAGAGAAAGACAGTGCATGCTGCAAAAAAATAATAAACAAAACAAAAGTACATCGTTATAATTGAGTTAGCGAGCTCACAAAAATCTGAAAGAAAGAAATAAGAAGAAGAAAAAGATTCTGACAAAAACAAGAGGTGATCTGCGATAGTAAAATAAAACAAAAGTACATCATCTACATATGTCTTGAATACAAACAAATCTTATTATGATTCAATATGGTTTTAATAAATTATGTACTGTCAATAACCATTTTTTGTATTTTATGACCATGCAAAGAGATTTCTAAATGCATCAACACATATATAGGGCCAGTACAATGTTATTGCTGAAGAAAACCCTGATAGACAATGCATTTAAAATTGATGGCATATCTTATCACTCTACAGATTTAAAGATTTTAATCATTCAGTATAATTACATTTCAATTGATCCTTAAATTGAACATGTATTTTCAAAGACTGCAACATATATTGTGAAGAAACGTACAATACTTTTATCATTGCTATTACCTGGAAAGATCTGTTCGATGGCATTGATTTCACGTTCTGAAAAATCTGTCATAAAAAATTACGGATTCCATGCAATGCCTTCCTCAGACATCCATTTCTGGATGGTACACAATCCCTGCTTGATTGCTGCAGTGGTCTCAAATTGTACGACAAACTCCCCAACTACGCTATAACCGTAGTTGGTTTTCACCGCCAAAAAGAACAAGGGTAGTGCGTACTTCGTGGTGCGATACGTTGCATCCAAAAGGCACAAGGTGTTTCCATACCTATGATGAAGAAAAAACACAAAGAAAATATCACAAAAGCAATGTTGAATGTGTTGACAAGATATTTCCAAGCACTTTCCTTACAATGTAAAAAAAAAAAATAAGAAATGTTACCAGCATTGCATGCAGGATCTTAACAGGCAAATATAGACTCAATGCAAACATTTTTTAGTTGCATTAACCATGAAATTCCATTTTTTGCCACTCCTTTCAATGAAGCTTTTTTAAAAGAAAGAACATATGTACCATCCCCCCCCCCCCCAAAAAAAGGAAGATTCAAGAAAACAAATATTTTGGAATCAAGATTAATATCCAAAATGAGACCATCTCTAGAAAGCTTTTTTTAAATTTAGATTTAAAGGTAATACAAAGTTTTGGTATGGGGTCATGAATTTGGTTCAAATGAACATGCTTGAAGCATAAGCGATCCTACAATATTCAGTAATTGTTGTCGCGGTTGAAATTGAGTCTAAAGTTATGGAATTGTAATATAGCTCGCTCTCAAGGTTAATATATTAATTAAGCTATAAAACAATGTTTCTTGAATAAAATCGACCGATGAGCTATTCCCATTCAAAAATTATATGTAAAAACTACATATTCTGAGATTTTCATGTTCGCAGCTACCATTATACGACCCTAGGCGCTATTAAAAAATTTATCAAAATTTACCGGGAGCACCGGTAAATCTTTATATTAAATTTTTCTCGAAAGCTAAAGTGTTTTATGGGCTAAAATTTCTGGTGTTTTGCATACATTCACAGGGGCATCCAAATATATTGGAATTGTAAAGAATCACTATCCACCCATTTTTCAAAATTTCCCAAAACTTTGTAATACCTTTAAGGTTTGGTGTTAGTGTTTAATAAACACTAGCACCATGCCTAAACACCGAAATGGAAATCAGCTTGTTTTAAGGCTTTGACCTCTGAATATCATCAACTTCCGGTAGCTTATAAATAGTGTTATTGATTTTGTAAAATTGCCGTCTGCTGAACCGACCTTTGCTACAAATGTCCTATTCACTATCACTAGCCCCTAGGGATTAAGTAAATGTTGCTTTCCGGTTCGGTGTTAGTGTTAGGCTATTGATATTGATATCAGTATCATGCTCTTAATTTCATTAACAAATTTTTAGCCTGATTTAATTAAGAGCTCTTGACTGCTCTAAACACTAACACTAACACCCAACTTGAAATCATACACTCATTAAACTTTATTGTTTGTCTGATTTAAGCCACAGACAAGCTACTATATAAGCACTAAATTTGCAAGCAAAATATAAAAATAAAGTTCACACATGCTAGATAATCTGTAATCTTAGATTAGAGTCACTAAAAAGCAAGCAATTGCATGTAGATTTTTGCAAGCTATTTCTAACCAACAATGTAGTAATTGTATTATCTGCTAATTCTAAAGGCAAGCTGTATAAACTTTTACACAGTTCAGGTAGACAAGAAGAGCATGCTTTTATAGAACTTAGCACTGTGCAGAAGAAAAGGTTGTTCAGCAGAAAATTTCATCAAAAGTAGAGCTGTAAACTTCCCAAATTCATATTATTCATAATCCCAAGCAGGCACGTACGCAGGGGGGGTGTTTGGGGGGTTAAACCCCCCCCTTTGGTATTTTTATGTGTGTAAACCCCCCTAAAAAATCCCTAAAACCCCCCACCCCCCCTTTGGATTTTTTTTTTTTTTTTAATTATTTAAAAAAAAAAAAAAAAAAAAAAAATTACCCCCATGGCTGACCTAAAAAAGGTGACCTTACCCCCCCCCCCAACGGAGCAAAATGTCAAATTTTCAAATTTTGAGACCAAAAAAAAAAAAAAGGTGTCCTCTTACCCCCCCCCCCCCCACCCCCCCCCCCCCCCCCCCCCCCCCCACTGAGCGACTTTTCTGTTGGCTGAGTCGTTGCAATTTTTTTTTGGACTACCAAAATAAAAATAAAAAAGTGTCCGCTTACCCCCCCCCCCCCACTGAGCGACTTTTCGGCCGGCGCGATTTTCAAATTTTCGGGAGCAAAATTTTTGGGTCAGATTTTAAAACCCCCCCCTTCAAAAAATCCTGCGTACGCCCCTGATCCCAAGTAAAGCTGGGATGGTTTCTCCAAGGGGATGTGTCATTGTGAAATCTTCAGTCTTAATTTCAGATTTCAGAACACTAAATTTTCAATGCTACAATCATTATTTTTTCATTTAATTTATTAACTGTTAAAACATCAGGAACGCCAAAATTACACATGAAATATCAATCCCTTTGTCAACAGTTCTTTTACTGGAAAAAATTTTATAGAAAAATTGCAATATACAATTTGTATGATCCACTTTCTTTATTTAAAGGGGCCTTGTAAAGGTGGTTATATAAAGTTTATACAAATGACAAAGAGTGTTTACTAAATGATTGTGATTATAACTACTTAAAAGCAAACGGTTGTTTTTACCTCTGTCAGTCCATAAACAGTGAAATGTTGACAGAAGAATTATATAAAAGATCGAGTCCACAAGAATTAAAATCTAAACCACCAAAAAACAGATACCCCAAAACCAGAAAAGGATGCAGAGCTAGAGGCATAAATAATCAGAAAAGCAAAAGCATACCAGGGCATTAATTTCCAGCATTAAGAACATTATTGTTCACAGACTGATTTGTCATTTAATAAACTCTTTTGATATGACTCTTCCGAAAGACTTTCCAGGGTAGAACAAAGTTATTCCATGATTTTTATTTTTACACTCTCAAGCAACATTTTTCATGCCATCGATTGCCCACCTCTAAAATGACATGTTAAGATAAGGGGTTATTATTCAAGTAAGCAAAGTTCAGAAGACGTGATGCAGAAGAATGAGACCATATAGAGCACGGCAAAACTTGATTAAAGCTGAAGGCATGAAACTTCAAAACTTACACTTTGTCACCACAATGCTATATCCTTGTTGGCTGTGCTAGTAATATTGATTTGAGGGTATAAATTTTGATTAAAATTCAGTTACATAAGAATTATTTTTTATATTGATGAATGAAAAGTTTACCAGCATTTCTGCAAAACATTCAAGCATCTATATACAGATAGATGGTAGTTGAAAATTTAAATAATTATATTAAATTCATGAATACCACTCTATACAAGATGTATTAATTATTAAGGTATATATTCATCTTAACTCAATACAAATCCCACAGATGCAATCTTAATATGGCAAAAAGGTAATATGAAGAAAAACTAGATGGATTCTCGACTGCGTACAGTAGAAAATTATGCCCCTGCCATTGCCAGATCAGAAATATATTACGGTACACATTTAACTTCTGAAATTTTCAAAACCTTTCATAATATTACTGTTTTATTTGCAGTTTCCCAAATTCACTTCCATTGATTAACTTTGTATAATTCTGGTATATTTGTAGACATGTTTCCATTTTGTGTGTGTTCTCTGTTTTCTATATTGTATATAATCTTTTTTTTATGTGTTTTTTGTGGATATTAACAAATATTCTTTGCTCGTTCATCTCATTCTACATAAAGAAAAGTGGTTTTACAAAGATTTACATGCATTCTACATTAATAAGTGAACAAAATCCTGTCATCTACATGATGGTATAAACACACATACAGCTATCATTAAATGACTACATGATTTTGACTAGTACACCTTGTGCATGAACAGAATAAATACAAGTCAGCAAACATCACAATATCTATAAATGTGTCTTTCAATTCCATGCACATGGTTGTGTACATATGTGTAGTTACAGAAATATGCACAGTACATTAAACTGCATTCATGAAAGCATCCATGTTTAATTTAAAACTAAAATAGTAGTTAGTTGATGGAAACTGGAAAGCCACATGTTAATCTCTGCATCCCATAAACTAATCTTAATTCTGTAACTACAAGAAGAAACAATTGAGAAATTGATTTATCATTTTCATTTCATGACTGGATTCATTTGTTTTCCTCATTGTGTTTAATACAGAAACAAAAAATGTGTATGAAATAAAGAGCATAACACATAGCACTACATAATCAGTGGACTATGTTAAACCAGGTTTATTAAACTTAGTACATCTTTAAAAGACTATAAGCCATTGAATAAGCCATCCTCTGGAACAAGTTGCCAAGTGACCTTCAAAAAATATTCCATGCTTAGAAACCTTCAGAAACATGCTAAAAAGCTTTTATTTTATACTCAGAGTTACTAATGCTATTATGTTGTTAAATTCTTGAGAAAGATAAGTGTATTTTGTTTAGTATAGCGTCTTGAGTAAGATATTAGACAAGTGTGCTTCATAAGCATTTACTGTTATTATTATTATATTTTACAGCTTCAATATGAGAACCTCTTCATATTCTTTCAGTCAATTTGAAATAAACTGAGTCAGGAGTAAATACACTTGTACATTATCCTCTCTAAACGTCCCGCTTTACTGCCCTGAGCAAATGTTGCAGGAGCAAATGTCGGATCACAAGGCTATATAGGTACATGTATCTTGTTGAATAGCAGTAAGTGTTATTTTTTTTAATTCAAAGAAATGAAGCAGTTTCACATTAACACAATCATGCAACTGATACTATAACACCTCATCAAAAGTAAAAGTAAGCCTTGGAATATAAGCTTAAGATCATGGAATAGTAAATATGATTCTTCGTACTTTTCTCTATATACATGTACAGTGTATGCTCTTGAATTGGAACACTTTTCCTATTCTACTTAATAGTCTCCTTCAATTTGTTCCCCCTTTTTTACAATTCTTTTTCTTCTTTCCCTGGCCCCATTTCAAATTTTTCTCCCTTTTATTTTCCTCCACTTACAAACTTTCTCTTCTTTCTAGATTTTCTCTTCATATCTGATAAGCAACAATCTGTACTGCTCTTCTGTGTAATCTACTGTGTTTCTAACCTTCAGACATTTCCCAAAATCAATAATATCTTTACTCTCAACTCTCTACAAATGCATGATACAGTGTACACAGGCAACATAACATGCAGAAAAGACATGGATGTAAGACTGGATTTCAAACCTTGAACAGTGGTAATGTCAATGGTAGAAGAGACATTGGAGACGCAAGTGAGTCCTAGTCAACGATGGGCCAGCAGTGGCAAGTAAAACAATGTCATGAAGCCATTTTATTTATTACTCTCTAGTCTCTCAATAAAATCTTTAAACCGTTTCTCAGAGCGAGATATACATGATATTTACCATGCTAACATATAATCCCTCTTTTTTCAACATACAGGTACAGGTATATTTTGAATAATGACAGCTACATTTATAAATACTAAAATACCTGTACATAGATGCATAAATTCACCCTTTTAGTGATGTAGGTTATCATTTTATAGAGGATGCTAAATATATTCATATGTAGAATCCATATGTAGATATTTAGCTGCACCAATTTGCATGAAAGACGTAGGAAAAAGACTTATCACTAAAAAATGAAGAGTTCTCTGAGTATCTTGACTTAAAATAAGAAAAAAGAGAGAACATGAAAAGACAATTTTATGAAGTTCTAAACTAAACACATTTTACTGTCAGAAAACATTTCTGTGCAGATTATCAATCTTAAGGATTTGATAAACATACATGTAGCAACAAAACAGATATATCAATTTATCAAACCTCTATCTTATACCATTACATGTCAAAACAAGTATATGACTAGGAAACAAACTATGATGGGGAAAAAGAGTAAGAGGGGGGAAAAGAGTAAGAGATGGAAAGTGTACCTGTGACTCAAAGAAGGAGAGCTTGCGAAGTGATTCAGATTCTTCATCCTTTACAGTGTAGCAGGAATACATAAATAGAATCAGTATATTATATCAAGTCTGTTTTTCACAAATTAGAGTGAATTTGTACTTACATTTCAAAACCAAGGGTTAAATGTATACCCAAGTCACACCACTAAATCGACCCAAAACTTGCTTTTAATCCACAGAATCTTGTTGATTGTGTGGGTAATTTTTTCTTTTCCTGTCTACTGTCTGCCTGGTGTTTCTCCCCTCGATGTGACTGGGGTATTACTATTCAGTGATGTAAAGCGCTGGTCAGATTTTTTATTAAAATGTGAATCATGTACGGCAGTAATTCTTTGTTTTATTTCTACAAAATGTAGCATGTAAAAATGAGAGAGTGGACACATATACCCTGCCCCCTCTCTCAAAAAAATATTAACAAATGAACCCCTATTAAAGTCCAGAAATTGCCAATTTGAATCTCTTCTTGCCCATCTCATGTCAAAGGGAATCCTGTGTATTTTGCACTTACAATACAAATGTACTTCAAAACAACATGGTTCAATGCCTGGAATTCTTCAAAAACATTAAAAAAAATAATGCAATCTTTATCTTTCAATAAAAATGTTCACATACATAAATATCTTTAAAGCACATAGAAAGATTCTTATTCAGTGCTATATTATTACTATCCATGTATAAGTCTCACCTTTAGAGGAATGCCTTCGTCTTTCCTATCGTTGTACATGTCACGCATATCAATGATCTTATTCTCGAGCTTCTCCACAGACCAGATCTGTGTCCCTCTGTCCTTACGCTTCACCTGAATGGCCAGCTCACTCACTATGGCTCCTCTCTGACCAATCAAATCAAAGGTTAGAAAGATATAAGTCATCTATTCATCGTAATGGGAATGCTTGTTTAAAAACTAATTCCATTTTATTTACATTTTACAATACATATTCATCACTTATGTATCTACTAAATATACTGTCATTTATCATGCTAAGCCTTGCACTGCTTTCAGTAACATCCATCCAACATAATAATAGAAGTGTTAAAAATGAGAATTTTGATAGACCAATTTTACAATTTCTGGAGGATTTTCTGTTATCTTTGTTGGAACTACCTCATTAATTTTATGCTGGTCTAAAATCATCACAAACTAATCTGCTGCACTGCATCTTCTTGTTGCACAGATTCATGTAGATTTGCATTCAATAAAGCCACATGTATGGGGCATACATTTTTGGAACAAAAAATAATATCAGGGCCAAAGGAATAAAATTGATGCTCCTATGCCTTTTCTACGTTTATGATTATTCAGTGGGTTGATGACACATTGTGCAAAACTTTTTTTTGTCCTATTCTTTTATTAGTACAGATTTTTCCGTGCTTTCTTGAGTGATCTCAGCCAAAAGACATTTCCGTCCAAATTGCATAAACTGCAAAAACAATTACTTTCTATAGCATCATGAATGAAGGAGTAGAAGCAAGTGATAGGAGAGCTACCTTTCTATTTGGAGTAAGGTTACAGACAGGTATCTGTAGTGTGACTCTGAACTCTGTCTGTTTGCCCATTTCCTCCCCCAGGAAGTTGGCCTCTCTGATCAGGGCGTTTGCCTTGACAACGTCTTCTCTCAGCTTGGCAAGACTCTGTCTGAACATATCATCCCTAGGGAGAAAAAGCCATTTAGAGTTCATCAACTGACTTAGCAACGACAAGTACTTATAAAGTGTATTTAATAATAAATAAAAAATTACAAAATTGTTGACACACACACATGCATACTAATAGAAGAGTCACTAGCTCAGTAGGCAACAACTATTAGGCAATTCAGGGGTGATAGTGAGCACTAAAAACAAAAACAAATTTTTTCCCCCCCCCCCCCTCTACCACGCCCCCCTTGAGTAAAAAAAAAAAAAAGAAGAGAATTTGTGGAAAAAATGGCATCGAACATCATTCCCCCTTTTTGAGTAAAAAAATTGGGAAAAAATAGGGAAAAATAGAAGAAAAAAAAAATAAAAAATAATAAATTACATTTATATAGCGCTTAATACAAAGTTTCTACGCGCTTAACAAAAAATTAAATTAAAGTAATGTTAACCTAACAAATTACAAGAATATAATACATGATACATAATTATAATAACAAATTCCTAATAACAATCATACAATAATAATAGTTAATATTTACATAACACTTTATAGTTAAACAAACAAAATATGATTACATTACATTACATATTAAACAGATAAGTCTCAAGTTTAAGGGAATAATCAGGAAAATTTGGGAAGAAAAAAAAAATCAGTAAGAAAATCAACAACAAAAATCAGGTAATTATCAGGCCTGGCAATTGAATGCTGGTGCAAAGCAAATTTCCACAATTGGGGGCAATGAATGAAGTTGTCAAGTTATCATACCAAGTTTAATACTTATTCATATTAGAAATACATACCAAATGAAGGGGGAAGTCTTTCAAACATTTAAGAAAATTTAAAAAAACCCATTTATTTTTGCATGAACATGCTAATTATCCATCTTATGCGAGTACATCTTTTATCAACTACACAAATATTTCATCACCTAAGATCTATCTTCACTGACCTGTCTTCGCTCCATTCCTCATAAGGCTCCACCCCTAGCGACGACCCTATCCCTAACGATGACCCATCACCGCTCTGGCTCTGGGTACCTTCATCTTCTATCCTCCTATCCTCCTGTCTGCTGTTGGGTTGGTGGTGACCTGAGGAGTTCTTGGGAACCAGCTGTTGCTTCAGTGCGGCCAGCTCCTGCTCGTAAGCCTCCCGCTGCTTGAAAAGGGCGCCATCTTTGTCCTTCTGGTGCTGGACTTCTATGAGCTTCATGGCAGCTTGTACAGGGTCTAGTGAAAGAGGAGATGTATATGATTACTACAATTACAGAAGTTATTCAAACCCAATATGTCCATCTAGGCCAAAACTGTTTGATTTTTATCCATTTAAGAGAAAGCTCTACAAAAAAAAATCTGCATTTCTAGGCAAAGATTGAAAAATGGAAAATAATGTAGATTGACTACTAGTACTTACCATCAAAATATACATGCTAGTCATTTTCTGTCAATTATCAATCAAGTTGATTTACAGAAGTCAACTTCTACCTGATTACACTACATTGTATATGTAATGAATTTCATACAGCCCAATATAACACAATTAATCAATGGTTAAATATGTACAAAGGTAAAATGTATGGCTTATCCTTTCATCAAATCATAGTTCAATAGAAATAATCCATACAATTTTGAATGAGAGTATTTTATTTTGCAATTGTACACTAGCAGTTTGCACTTAACAGGTACATGAATTTACTATTTTGACTTCTGTTTTATTGTGATGTTTACCATTGTGTAGTTCTTGCATCATGACTTCATTCTGTGCATAATCAAAGTCAAAGCTTTCTGTCACTGGCTGGGCCACAGGCTCAGGGGTTGTTGTTCCACTTGATCCTAGAAGAAAGAAAAAAGAAATAAAAATACAAAATAATCATGAACATTTAAAACCATCAATTGATTCGGGTGGCCCTGCTCTGGCTTATTTAGCTCTCGTCATCTATCTAACAATTTGTTCATCCTTCAATTAGTCATCACTCCATCAATCACCCATCAATAAATCCATTATAATCGACCCATTCCCTACATCCATTTACTCTCCAATACTTTATTCATTCCTCACCATATCTCCATCCATCTCTTCCTCTTTCTATCAATCCATCCATCCATCCATCCATCCATCTTTCCATCTATCTATTCATACATTCATAACCTATTCATTGCTCCCACCCTCTCTCCATCGAATCATCCATCCACACATCTGTTCTTCCCTTCATCATCCCCTCTAACCGCCATCCATCTTACCATCCATCCATTTACCTCTTTATCCATCCATCCATCCATCCATCCATCCATCCATATATATATATATTCATCTATCCATCTAATGCACACACCATCACAGATATACCATCATTTCTTACCAACTCCAGGAGCTCTTGGGACAGTTTATCCTGAAGAAATGATAGTTGCCTAGAAGTATTCTGTCTCCATGCCTCAACGATGTCTTACTTGTCACAGCACTTCCATTGACATATACCCTAACAAAAACAATAGAAAAAACAACAACATTACAATCTCCCTCTCTGCCTTTCATCATTCAGTGGTAGCCTCATATTTTCCATGTAAAACACATAGATCCCATGAATAAATTTGTTTTCATTATTCATATTGTCCATTCTAAACCTTGCTAGCTTGAAGAGTGAAACTGTAAAAGGGAATTTAAGAGAGATTTCAAATTCATCAGATTAAATGGCTCTTAAATCATTTAAATATAACAGAAGATGTCAAAGCAATTGTTTAATTTGAAATGAAAAATTAATGTGATTGCAACTTCGATATGCCTCTTACTACATTCACCTAACTCTTGATCACTTTCTGTCATTACTCACAAAAGACATTACATGAAATTTGAGCAATGAAACTCTCCTCTTAACATTATGAATCAACTTGTTCAAAAATTGGATTGATCGATTGAAACATGACCTCTAAAAACCATGAACTACTTTTGTGAAGCCCCTAACACAGAGGTCATGACTTGAGGAGTATGTAACAAACTACCCTTCCTGTAACAAACACCCCTTCCTGTAACAAACACCCCTTCCTGTAATGAACTACACCCATCCCAATCCCACATTCCAAATCAATAAGATTGTAGATTACACCTCTACACCTGTCATTCATATTGTGAATTTCACTCCTATATTTTTAATTAAAATTCCAATGTACAGATTGCTTGTTAATATCCATCAATCATTGTACATTACAAGATTGAATTTCTCCCATATCACTATCAATCATTTTACAGTCTTTTTTTTCCTTCTACAGTGTTATTTGAAACTGCAACACAAATCGGTGTAAAATGGATATATTTTGTTTTCTCTTGTAATTTTCATTGCTGTATACCAACTATATAAACCATGATCTGATTTCAAAATTCATCAAATGTGTTAAAAACATATACAGTTTTCTAAAATTGAATAATTGAAAAGATGTTTATTTGTTTGATATTTGTGAATGAAAAAAAAAATATATATATATATATTTAAGTTACCATAATAGCAAAAAGTTGGATAAACTGAAGAAAAATCTGATGCACTAAATGCAAATCTTTGACTCCTTGAATAAAATAATAATACACTATCAAACATTAAAATAGATTACATATAACAAGACTGCTGTTCAAGACAGCCTTTTAAGATGGCAGAAAATCTTTGAAACTAATCAATCTTACTTTGCATTTTCACATGGTGAGATGTAGACATCTATGTCATTCTCTACATGTACATCAATGGTACAATGTCTAGGCATGATACCAAGCCCATTTAGCTGGATATCAGTTTGTGTCTCCTCATCAGCCCTCCCAGCTACATTGTGATCCTACGTAAAGACAAAGAAAAGTCAGAAAGAAAGAAAAGAAAAGAAAAGAAAAAAGAAAAAAAGAAAAGAAAAAAAAGAAAAAAAAGAAAAAAATCAAGTTTTTCGCAATGATTGCCACTCACTTGTAACAGCCACAAAGTACATTATGATCCTCAACTGTACATACAACAGAAAAATTAAAAATTGTGAACTCTTTAGAAAATGCCCACTATAATCCAAAATATGACAAAGAAAATTGAAAATCTATAACACTCTTAAAAGTCCAAGCATGTTTGGGCCATTGTCTGATCGCATTTTGTAATATTGAACAGCAGCGTAAAACTCCACACATATAGAACGAAATAATTTATTGAGATTAGTCCAGTTCCTTTAAGATTATTCTGATTATATCATGGATGGATAAAGCGTGAAGATCTGCAGTTCTTACCTTGAGGTATTAGACAAACAGTTCATTGAGTGAAGGGTCAGCGTTTAGATTGACCAGGAAACCTTTATTCCTCTCTACTTTAATCCTAGAAGTCTTGACTGCTACAGCCATTTACTAACATGTCACTTTATCATCATTTAAAATGTACTTTTTAATGATCGTTCCCTTTAAGATCTAAATGAGAACCTTGGCTTACCTTGAGGTAGTAGACAAGCAGTTCATTGAGTGAAGGGTCAGCATTGAGATTGACCAGGAAACATTTATTCCTCTCTACTTTGATCCCTGATGTCTGCACCGAGATACCCATCTGTTCTAGTGCTGCTTGCCTCTCCTAAAATCAAACATATATTTACATATTAGCACCTGAAAATAGACCAGTTCACGGTTAGCACATGTCTCAAATGACCCCAATTTATCCACAGATCTTCAAAACATGAAGAGGTCCCACTTTGTACATTTTGAAATAATCACTACTACAACGATGGAGGTGCTACATAAATAGCCTTTGTTTCCCCTTTTCAAAGAATACATTGTACTTCCACCTGTGTATCATTTGGTCTGTGATGACCTTTATCTAATCATGTTCAGACTGCAACTATGAACTGACTTATTGTCATGACATGTATATGCACTGTATCTATGGTAAATTGCCAAGATTTCTGAATGGTTTCAGGCAGACTAAAATAACTCTCCATGGGGTAATACATTGTTTTCAGTCAGAATCAAATACATTTTTGCACATCAACACTTGAAAATTTCATTACATGAATTGTAGCCATTTAGTGACAGTACCAAATGGAAAATTGCCAAGATTTTTTAAGCATTTCTGACACATAGAAATGATTGTCTATAACAATACACTGTTTTCAATCAGAATCAAAGTGCTTAACTAAGATATAAATGCAATGAAGATCAAAAGTGTTACTTTTCAAAGAAATCAGGGCTCCATCTCACAAAAATTGTCATCAGTGACCAATGACAGTTTTTGTTACAAGCTAGTGAAATCCTTGCTTCTGATTGGTTATCAATAGATTTGTCATGCATTTGTCATTGAAAAGAGGCTTTGTGAAACGGGCCCCAGATCTTCCCCAAAGAGGAAAGTTATCAAATGTTCTCCGAAAGTAACCTGAATGCATATTGATATCAAGTCAGCTGTGTAATACTGAATGGCTTGATGTCCGAAGACTCGTACTTCTCTTCTTTAAAAAAAAAAAAAAAAATTAATTTTTTTTTTTTTTTTTTGGGGGGGGGGGGCTGCAATTGAGATTTGTACACGCATTCATTTGGAATTCTACCACATCCCAGGTGAACAAACTATAACACATTGTGTTGGAAAAAAAACTCTCAAATTTAGCACTTTATATCGAACTACTGAAGAAGGTAATGAACTTACTTTGTGTATTCTTTCTGTGTTGACAAGTTTCTCTTCCCAACTCAGAGACATCTCTTTCATAAGCATCTCTGATTCCTCTAGTCTATCCTTCAGAATATCTGCTTTCATACTCAAAGAAAAAAAGATGGAGAAAGCAAATTTTAAAATAATATTGTTATGAAATACTATTAAGAAAATACTGGTAGTGTATATATCAAACTCTAAGAAATAAAAGATAGAAAAAGAAATGTTTAAATAGAATTGTTGTGAAATACTAAGGAAATAATGTAAAAATCAATCTGTATACAGAGTGTGCGATACCATGTAAAGCAGTACAAATATTACTAATTTTTAAATTATTAGATGATGCAGTGACGCATGTACATGAATACAATTTTATGAAGATATTCTGTAGATCACCGACGCAAATCTTTGTTCAGAGCTTTTATGATTTACATAATATTAATAATAATAGTGGGTTCTTGTATGGCGCTCATGTCTGTCATACGTGACACTTCTGGTGCTCCAGTAAGAAAAAGACTCTTGTTTAGAAAGGCAGGAACTCCAAAAGATCATTAATTAAAATAAAACTTGAAACTTGATCAGATCAATGACACATACTCCCATATACATGAGCCAAGTTATTTGTTAATTGGATCTTAAAGGTAAAGACCAGTTTTGGAAATGCCCCCCTCTCAAAATATGAAATGGAAGCTCTTCTTACCAATCATGTGAAAAAATATGTTTTGTATAATACGTGATCATACAAATTTTGCAGAGAATTTGGTCAATTATTATATCTATTTTGACCTGATAGATATAACGCACGTGTCGTGCAAGTGTACGTAGTCTCATATACATTTTTTCTGTGTACAGTGCTTATAACTTTACCAAGACTGGGCCAAATTTCTTATCATTTTGATGATTCCAGAACCTTGCAGTACACACCAATACTTATATATATGCTAGCTGATCAACCTTTTCTGATCGATTCCATAATGTTTCTTTCACAATGCAATCGCGCATCATTAAATTAGTGCAAGAACAAGCAATTTTCATGTATATAATGACCTCTGTGACCTTTGACCTTGTGTCCCCAAAATCTAATCAGATCATTGTCACCCCCATATGCATACATGTACATATGGGCCAAGTTTGAAGTTGATCGGTCTTTTTGTTATGGCGACAACGAGCCATTTTCATGTTTTTCATTTTCATGACCTCCTGTTACCCCAAAAACTAATCAGATCATTGTCCGTCCTATATATGCATACAAGAGCCAGGTTTGAAGTTGATATAGCGAACAACTCTTAAGTTATCAGGAGAACAAAAGAGGGATGGACGGACGACCCCAAAACATAATGCCTCCGGCAAGGTCGACCTTCGGTGGGCAAAGGCATATCAAAATAATGGATTCTGAATCTTTCAACTGATGTGTCTGATGATAAAGGTGACTCCTCAGATGGTTATGAGGTCAACATTTTGTTTTTTAATTTACAAGAAAAACTTCATTTAGGTATTAATATCATATTTTGCTAACAGTTATTGCAACACTGAAATAGTTACCTTAGTTTCATGCGGGCAGCATAGATGTGGTTACGAACACATAGGTCACTTGGATAGTAAGCCATATCATTTGAAGTTGATCTAGACTTTGGGTTTGGGAAGAGAATGGTGTCAACAAAGACTTTCAGGTGCCGCTTCATCTCCTTCACATTGGTCACACCATGGCCAACCAGTTCTTGAACTTTAGTTATGAGATCCTTATTTAGAGGATTAAGAAACCTGGTGAGCTAAAAGAAAGAAGAAAAAAGAAAAGAACAGAAATTAAGTTAAAGAAAATTAGAAAATAATTAAAATTACAAAAAAATAATGGAAATATAATTAGAAAATTAGACAACAAATAATATAAAACTGCAAATTCACTATATCTAAAAAAGAATCTTCTACACACTGCAGTTGGGATAAGACCTTTTTCTCATTTGGAATTAACAGACCTGAAAGTGTTCAAAAGGATCTGAGTTTTGTAAGGACCCAAACTTCAAGGTCGACTTATGTTGACAGACTGTACATTGTTATGTCATGCTTTAATTCTAAGGTGCCACAATAATGTGAAACCTGGTTTGACTCCTCATGGACGGGATTAAATCATCATTAGTGTTAACCGATTGTGATACAATGTATCACATATATTCAAGAGCTTCTTCATTATCACTCCAGTGACCTAGAGAAATTGAAATATTTAAAATTTCATGAAATAAAATACATAGGGAAAAGTGAGTGTGTGACATCAAAGGATCACTTATTTGCATACAGTCTATGTTAATGTATATTGTTGTTTTGTGAAACTGCACAAAACTTTAAAATGTTGTAACTTTATTATTTTACATCCTATTTTGATGAAGTTTTCAGTCTTATTTTTGTTTGATTTTACTCCATTTATTCTAATCAGTCTTTAACTGCATTAACAAAAAAGTGAGGGTTTTACCATTCCAATAGGATGTTTATTCTTGTGATCTTCATCTTTAGGCACAGAGATGTAGATTCGATGTTCAGTCACTAACTGTGTGCTACTTCTTATCGCCTCTCGTACCTCACGACTCTTCACACCTCGGGCATACGGGCTACTAGCTTCTTCTTTATTCAACTGGAAAGAAATGTAACCATCCGACGTTCAAAATCATTACCCAGATTTTAATATTTTTTTTAAAACTTCCATGTAAAAGTCAAGGTTCAGTTTTCATCATAAAGTAATGTTAAGATGTTGTGTGTCTGTCCTTCCGTTTGTTTGACGGCACTTTTCTCCATGACTGGACTAAAAAAATAGATAGTAATTCACTGTGAATTGTATCATGTAGATCAAAAATAGCACAGTGGCAGTCCATGGACCCAGACTAGGCCTCGGCTAGATCCAAGACTAGTGTGCAATGTAGATTTAAACTGCATATTTAGATTTCATGAAATTTATTACACTACAATATTCTTTTAAACAAATAATGCACAGCTCTTGCTCGAGCATGAGACAAATTCTTCAGACACTTCTAAAGTGAAGCATATGCTTTAATAAATGCAATCACAACTGCATATTATTTTTATAATAATGCATTGTAAATTAAAACGACCACCCTTCAAGCAATTTCGACTTGGCATTTGGCATTTCTGAAAGACCTGAAAGACTTCTACAGAACTGAAAGAGGGAACAGGAAGTACACAAATAAGAAATGTAAATTACCTGAAATTGAGGAAATCTAAGGACTTCCTTCATGATGATCTGAGCAGGGTATCCTTTTTTTCTTGAACCTTGGATCTTACGTCTTCGTTTGGTGGTTCCTGGATGATCACTCTAGAGAGATAGATTATAAACAATTCTCATTTGTAAGAAAATGCATTTGTCAAACGTCATGGAATATGCATTCAGCAACCCAAATTGTCACACTATGAAGTGGAGGAATCGTTTACATACAACATTGCATTTTCATGTCAAATAATCTGGGGGCCGTTTCTCGAAACCGTCATAACTACAAGATCAACGACATCTCGCCACTGTCACGCAACTTGTCAGCTAAGTGTTTCACGAAGCCGTCTTTGCCAAGATGAGCGACAACTTCCGCGACAAGCGAGTTGTCACTGCTCCGAACCCGTCATATCTTTTTAATTGCTGTAAAGCGCCATCACAAGTCAGTTTGTTGCCATTCCATGGGCCGCGAAATGTACGATTAGTTTCACTATCATTTTGAGAAAAATATAGACGAGTTCGGTACGTAATTCTCTGGGATAAGAAATGCAAATGTACAAAAGTGAGAATACAAATTATACAGAAACTTTAAAAAGCTAAATATAAACATTAAATCACAAATCATTAAACTATAACATATAAATAAGATAGATAAGAATGTTACACACCGTTTTCCGTAGTCGATCCATAGTCTTTTCTAAGGATACCGTCATACCTTGGAGCCTATGTGCATTATTATTCCCTCTCTAATTACTTCTTCCAAATTATATTTTCAATGTCAAATCAATTATATAACAAGTATTTATGAGACTCTAGAATAAAAACTGGCTGAGAAAAGACATTTTGCCTAAAATTCCTCGTCACAATAAACAAAAAGTACGTATTGATAAACTATCACATTACGGTATCCTTCAACTAACTTTTCATTCGACTGTCAAAAAAAAAACACTCACCGGTTTTTCTTCAATTTAAGAATCTTTACAGAAATATGCAAATCGTTTGGTGATCTACATTTGATAATGACACTATTTATTATTTATTTTAGGAGAATTTATATGTATATATTTCTTTTTGAACAATTTTAGCCTCAAAACTTGTTTTGGGTTATTCTTGATAAATAAAATGGATCGTGACAAAGACTATGTTCTTGAGCTGCTAGTATCGCGATATATCGATATCATGTCTGTCATGGCTTTGTGAAACAGTTTATCCGCTTCATGACATCTCCGTAGGTCGCCGACAAAGATATGACTGTCATGGAGTTGGTTTCGAGAAACGGCCCCCTGAATATTGTTTTTCCACTTGGAAAAAAGTACAATTTGGTTGAAGCTTCATGTACTTAAATGGGAAACTTAAATTTCAATGGCCAAGTCCATATCCACCTGACGCATTCAATGACTGTACTGATGTCTTGATCTAGTTGCTGGTCATGCCGAACATCTACATCACTGCAGTCATCGAATGCGTCAACAATGGTGACGCATTAATCATTTGTAGTCGAGATTGTATCAACCATAGACATTGTATTTGTATAATGTCTCCATAAATCTGAGAAAGTTTTTAAAGAGTTACTGTAAATCTCTGTGTATAAGGCGCACTTTTTTGCCGCCGAAAAAATTTGAAAGTCGGGGGTGCGTCTTATACACAGGAAACTACAACAACACTCAAATTTGTCTGACATCTTGGTTTGAAAGTAATCTTTCTAATAGATCTCAATATGTAGTTTATAATAATAATTCCTCAATTTTTTTTTATAACAAATGGTGTACCACAAGGTACTCCATTGTCAGAAATTTAGAGGATGCTATTCATATCATGCATGACTATTGATGTTTGGCATAGAACACAGTGCTTTTGCTAGGTGATGTGATGAGGCTGGTGTGGGACACTTGGTATCATGAAGCCTTAGAGTCTGGACCTGTTTTTAATTTTCATTAATGATCTTACACATTCTTCTACAACGACATTGTTACTATTATTTGTGACAAGTTCACAACTTCAACTGCACTTCGATGTAAAATGAAGGTCCTTCCCCGCGTGGGTTTTCGGCAACAAAACAACAACAAAACAAAAAACTTTTTTTTCCCCCCCCCCCCCCAAAAAAATAGGGGTGCGCCTTATACACAGGTGCGCGTTATACACAGAGATTTACGGTATGTCGGAATGCATGCATATTCTCTGTGTACATTGTATTTCATTATTCAATTGGCTAACTTATTTCAAAAGGATCTTAAACAAAAATTCACGAAACAGTGATATTTTTTTTTCAGATGAAGACATTGACATGTAAATGTATTTTTGGTAATTTTTTTTTTAAATTGCCAAATTGGGTATGAAATATTTGATATTTTGTCATTTATGACGGGGAAAAAAAAAAGGGAAAAAAAAAGGGAATATGTCAGAAGGAAAACTACATGATTTGATTCGATTAGGTATTTCAGGCAAATTTTATGTGACTCATTTTCTTAGGAATCAAATGCATGTTAATACGAAGTATTTAAAATGAGGACATTTTTCTGTGAAGATTGAATATTATGTAAGGTTTTAATTTTACTGATCCAAGTGGTTACTTGTTTATTTTACACTCACTATGAATATCACGGACAAAGAAAGCGGACAAAATATACAGTTCCTCAGGTAGATAAAGGAACATCCCTTCACTGCTATTATGTACAAAAGGTGAATATGCATGTGACACCTGTTCTACACATTTTTACATAATAGCAGTGAAGGGATGTTCCTTTGTCTACCTGAGGAACTGTATATTTTGTCCGATCTCTTTGTCAGTCATGTTCATAGTGACTGTGCATTTAGCTTTCCACTCAGTTATGCTTCAGCGCACCTCTGACCTACATTCATTCTCTCATGTCTGCTAGCTCTTGGCTTCTATTGTTCTGTCCCTATTCATTCATCCTCATTCACATTACCTGCCATAGCACCACACACACACACACACACACACACACACACACTCTTCCTATCTATTGCCTATTCAACCCAGCACACTATAGGCACATGGCACTCTACCTTTACAAGCTTTTCTATTGGTTAGTTACTTATTGTCCAATCTTGTGATTGGTTATTATTGTTTGATCGACTGAATGTCAGCCATCTTGGCAGCCATTTTGTGGTTGTATTAAAATCCAACAGTGCAGCTCAAGTCATCAAACATGTGAGACTACCTTTGTCTTGTGTGGGTCCTTACAATAAAATCAAGTTGATTTAAATAAATTAAACTATCATAACAAAGAATGTATGATAAGATTTAAAATAAGATGGCCTTTTAAAGTTTTGCATCATTTCATGAAACAGTAATTAATATGCAAAACATATGGGCGTCATGCAGATGAGTTAGCCGATGATGTCAAATAAAAGGGAGCAATTCTTTATAATCACATATAAATTGAATTATATATACCTCTCTTTAGAAATTTAGCCATCTGATTGGTCGAAATTGGAGTTGTGATTTTAGCCATGCCCGCCTAGGCGCCTACCGGTCAATAGTCTTTAAAAAAATGCCCGCATACCGGTCAATAGATTTTTTTTAAAGATGCCCACATCTAAATGGCGCATAAATACATTTTGCTGAGATCCCCATTGGTTTATGTGTAAAAAAATTCTTTGAGCGAGCGCAGATACCATACATTTTTTGGGGTGTGATGTGGTCATACACACACAATGTATGGTATCCGCGCTCGCTCAAACCAGATTTTAACAAGTGAACGGGAATGGCTAAAACCGCGACTGCACTTTGGACCAATCAGATGGCTGGATTTCTTAAGTGAGGTACATAACTGAAGTTACTTGACTCCTTTAAAAAGTGGACATTATGTTGATTAACATTGATAGTTGATTTTATGAAAAAGTAATAATCAACTACACAAGCAATGTGAAGTTTTAAAAAATATATGCAAAGCATAGCAAAGCATTTAATAAAGATCTAGAGCTATACTGAAATAAAAAATTACAAAAATTCAAAGCTAGTAGTAGGGTCTAGTACAATCTTGGATGAACCTGTAATTAAACATTTGATTCAATATTATCATAGACCTATCAAAAATGTTATCATTATGATAACTTACCTGCTGTTCTTCCTGCCTTTGGGCTTTCATCTTCCCCTGTGCAGATTGATGTTTGTTTCTTCCGTACATATAATTTAGTACATATGTACCAAGAATGATGAACAGAACACCATCATTTGGAACAATGGATGAGCCGGACTTCGTTGTGAAATTGAATCTTACACAGTGAGACTTCAAGGCAAGACCTTTGAAAGAAAGATAAGCAAAACAATAATTATTGGCAAGACTTCATTGCCCGTACAGAGATCTAAAAACAATAATTATTGGCGGGACTTCATTTCAGATACGGAGATCAGAAAACAATATATATTGACAAGACTTTGTTGTCCGTAAGGAGATCAGAAAACGATAATTATCTGGACTTCATTGCCCGTACGGAGTTGTAAAAAACAGTAATTATTGGCAAGACTTTGTTGCCCGTACGAGATCTAAAATCAATTATTAGTAGTTAGATTTTGTTGCCCTTACAGAGATCTAACAAAAAAAATTATTGGCAAGACTGCGTTGCCGGTACGGAGATCTAAAAACGATAATTATTTGGACTTCATTGCCCGTACGGAGATCTAACAACAAAAATTATCTGCAAGACTTTGTTGCCCGTACGGAGGTCTAAAAATAATAATTATTGAGGCTTCGTTGCCAGTACGGAGATCAGAAAACAATAATTGTTGGCAAGACTTTGTTGCCCGTACGGAGATCTAAAACCAATTATTATTGGCAAAAATTTGTTGCTTGCACGGAGATCTAAAAACAATAATTATTGGCGGAACTTCATTTCCGATACTGAGATCAGAAAACAATAATCATTGGCAATACTTCGTTGCCCATACAGAGAAGCCCTAACGAAGATCAATAAACAATAATTATTGGCAAGATTTTGTTGCCTGTATGGAGATCTAAAAAACAATATATATTGACAAGACTTTGTTGCCCGTACGGATATCTGAAATCAATTATTATTGGCAAGACTTCGTTGCTTGCACGGAGATCTAAAAACAATAATTATTGGCCGGACTTCATTGCCTGCACAGAGATCAGAAAACAATAATTATTGGCAAGAATTTGTTGCTAATACGGAACTCCTTGCCGATACAGAGATCTAAAAACATTATGTCTTTATCGAAATGACTGAATACTTGAGAATTTAAACACATGTAAAAATATGTTAACTAAGTGCATGCTTATTGCTCTTATACTTATTTAAGCATTTCTAGTGTCCTTTTAGGACTTAAAATTGCTATGAAGGTAATTTTAGACTCCTAAATGTGTGAAATATAGCCAGTATGATCATACAAATTCAGCTCTACTTACAAACAAAGAATGACATAAGAGAAGGTGAAAGAAGGAAGATACAAAGAATAACATAAGAAAAAGACAGAAAGAGAAGGTTATAGAAGTAAGAAACAAAGAATAACATAAGGAAAGACAGAAAGAGAAAGTGATAGAATGATAAAAACAAAGAACAACATAAGAGAAGATGATAGAAGGAAGAAACAAAGAATAACATAAGGAAAGACAGAAAAAGAAAGTGATAGAATGATAATAACGGAGAATAATATAAGAGAAAGTGAAAGAAGCAAAAAACAAAGAATAACATAAGGAAAGACAGAAAAAGAAAGTGATAGAATGATAAAAAACAAAGAATAATATAAGAGAAAGTGAAAGAAGCAAAAAAACAAAGAATAACATAAGAGAAGATGACTGAAGAAAGAAACAAAGAATAATATAAGGAAAGACAGAAAAAAAAAAGTTATAGAAGGAAGAAACAAAGGATAACATAAGGAAAGACAGAAAGAGAAAGTGATACAATATAGAAGAAAATGGAAAGAAAGAAGAGAAGATGAATGTTAGAAAAACAAAGAATAACATAAGGAAAGACAGAAAGAGAAAGTGATAGAATGATAAAAACAAAGAACAACATAAGAGAAGATGATAGAAGGAAGAAACAAAGAATAACATAAGGAAAGACAGAAAGAGAAAATGATTAAAGAATAGAAGAACATGGACAGATACATGTAGAAGAGAAGATAAATGATAGAAAAACTAAGAATAACATAAGGAATGTTAGGAAGAAAAGTAAAGAACGATAAAAACAAAGAATAAGAAAAGGTGATGGAAGGAAGAAACAAAGAATAACATAAGGAAAGACAGAAATAGAAAGAGATAGAATTTAAAAAAAATAAATAAAATAAGAGAAGATGAAAGAAGGAAGAAACAAAGAATAACATGAGAAAAGACAGAAAGAAAAGGTTATAGAATGAAGAAACAAAGAATAACATAAGGAAAGACAGAAAGAGAAAGTAATAGAATGATAAACAAACAAAGAATGACATAAGAGAAGGTGAAAGAAGGAAGAAACAACGAATAACATAAGAAAAGACAGAAAGAGAAGGTTATAGAAGGAAGAAACAAAGAATAACATAAGAAAAGATGATAGAAGGAAGAAACAAAGAAAAATATAAGAAAAGACAGAAAGAGAAAGTGACAGAATGATAATAACAGAGAATAAAATAAGAGAATGTGATCGAAGGACGAAACAAAGAATAACATAAGGAAAGACAGAAATAGAAAGTGATATAATGATAAAAACAAAGAATAACATTAGAGAAGATAAAAGAAGGAAGAAACAAAGAATAACAGAAAGAGAAAGTGATACAATATAGAAGAAAATGGAAAGATAGAAGAGAAGATGAATGTTAGAAAAACAAAGAATAACACTAGAAATGCAATCGTGTCAGAACGATGTGCGTGCAATGACGCCGTGTTTCTACGTGTCAAACGAAAGAGCTTCTCTCGGACTATCCAGAGCAATTTGCACGAAGTCTGTAGCTTCTGTGATATTGGAGATAGGTAGGGCGAAAGAAAGGCATCAACAGTGACCTTGATGGGATGGTACTATGCCTACGAAGTTTGAAAGAAATTGGGATAGGGGAAAGAACCTAGAAAGGGCTCGCAAGCACTGCATGCACAAACCAATGGGATTTGGTGCATGTTTGACATTGCAATCAAGTTCGTTCTGGGGGCCAAAAGCGTGAACCCGATATGCCCCATAGACAATGCGTGTAATGAATGGGCGGAAAACGTGCAGGATCTGTATTATGGCCGGAGTTAAATTGTTTTTTCTCTCTCTCTTTACGTCTCTTTATGGGCCGTATTTGGTATCATTAGAAAGAGAATTTCATGGTTGTTATTGTAAACCACTCTCTTTTTTTCTATGATAATCCTATCGAAACACGTGATGTAAAATAGATGTATAGGACAAAATGGCGTCTTAAATGGCCCCCTTGACCAATTTCAAAAATCCGGCCAAGAGGTGCCCTGCGTATTGGAACTCGGCATGTCACTGCAAATTTTCAAGGAAAAAAAATGACGTTTAAGGGGCGAAAAGCAGTCTGAAAAAATGACGTCATAGCCGAAACGTGTTAGGTTCGGGCGGAAACTCGGCGGAATTCGTGTAGTGATCTTTGTTCAAATGCGATTTACTCACAATTTTCTGTGTGAACATATATAATACTTGGTATCATCCGAAAGGGCTCTTCATTGCGGTCAGTTTGACACCATTGTTAACTGCGCGCAATGTATTGCGCGCATTGAACGCGCTATTACGTAATCCATAGTAAATACATCATTTTTGGCGATAACTTTGCGCTGACATATTTGAATTTTACCAAACTTGGTAAACAGTTGTCACGTATATGGATACATGTGTCTGCCAAGTTTCATTGATGTAGGTATAACGATCGCCATTTTAGAGCAAGTTGAAGTTATTTCTCAATTTTCTTGAAAATGGCGAATTTGGAGGGCAATTTTCTCAAATTTGGTCAGTGATAGGGTATATAATTTTGTATATGGCTGGAAAGGGCATATCTTCAAGTATGTAAATCCAAAAAAGGGTACGGGTTTGCCAAGCCATTATGGAGATACGGCCACAGAGAGAAAGCCAATTCCCAGAACTTTAGAGGGCGCTATTTATGTTATGCAAAGCCATTGGAGCGTGAAATTTGGCATGGCTATGTGCAATTATGAGATAAAGATACTGTAAGATTTAAATACAAAACGGAATTTATATGAGAAAGTTATGGCAGTTTTAGATTATTTAGGGGTCCATTTTTCAAGAACTTGAGAGATTTTTGACGGAGTCGGTTTTAGATTTGAATTTCGAGTATGAAGATGGCATTTTGAAGGTCAAGTCATGTGTCGCAGATGAAAGAACATCTCTCAGACTATCTAGAGGAATTTGTTAGAAGTTTGTAGGATCTGTGATAGTGGAGATAGGAAGGAAGAAAGAAAGGCCTTAAAATGGACCAGAAACGGACAAAATGGCGCCTGGACGGTCATGCATGAGTGATTTCGAAAATCGAAAAAGTAGGTGACCTTGATGAGATGCTAGAGATGATGCCTACGAAATTTGAAAGGAAAAGGACATGAGGAAAGCACCTAACTAGGAATAACAAGCATCATGTGCAAAACGAATGCGATTTTCTGACGAGGAATATAAGGAGGAAAATATTAATGGGGCAGAATGTGAACGAAAACAAGGCAATGACGAAGGTTCGTCATTGCAATAAAGAAAGACAGAAAGAGAAAGTGATAGAATGATAAAAACAAAGAACAACATAACTTACATAAGAGAAGATGATAGAAGGAAGAAACAAAGAATAACATAAGGAAAGACAGAAAGAGAAAATGATTTAAGAATAGAAGAAAATGGACAGATACATGTAGAAGAGAAGATGAATGATAGAACTAGATGGAACTTTGACTGCGCGCAGTCGAAATGATGCCTCCGTCATAGAGCAATTTTACAAACCAAAACAGAAGAAATTTTTCAAATTCAAGCTCAATTGTAATCCATTAACAGGTTCTCAGAATATCGTGATTACAAGCAATTTCTCATATACATATATGACCCTTTGATCTTTGACCACAAGACCCTAACATCTACTCAGTTCATTGGCTCTGCAAGATGTCCCGAGTTAAATAGTAATCCATCTGTCAGTTCTAATGAGAATGCGTTCACAAGCTATTTTTGCATACATAATGAGCCCATGACCTTTGACCTCATGACCCAAGAATCTACTCAGTTCATTGGCTCTGCAAGATACATACATGATCTAAGTTTGGGAGGAATCCATCAATGTGTTCTAATGATAATGCGATCACAAGCTATTTTTGCATGCATAAT